AATGTGACCTCAAATGAAAAATCCTATTTTACCTTACCCTACATAGGTAAAAGCTGCTGATCTTCCTGTCTGCTGTAAGCACAGTTACAGGAGCCATGGGAAGAGACTCATGGCTGAAAAGCCAATAGGAATATTATCTCTTGAAGGAACCGATGCCCCTATCTAACACCCTGGGAGGCTGACTTCTCGGTTTCTCTTTTGTTACCCTCTTTCCTTTGATTCATTACATCTCAAGTTTTCATCTTATTATTTGAGTACACAAATACCTGGGCTCAGTACACTTCATAGGACACCAGAGGTGTAGCCACTCTCCTCTGAAAAAAGTGAAACAAGACTTCTGTGCAAAGTAGTGGTAGAAGCTGCCTCAATGCATGGGTGAGATGATAGGCATCAAAGTTGCTGGGCTTTTAAAGGCAAAGTAACTGGCATGGCACTGAACGTAGTCTTCAGGAATCAAGAGAGGACAGCCCCAGCCCTGTATTATATACAAGCAGTGAGAAGCAAGAGAAGAGAGCAACTTTCTGGTGGGCCAGACATCGTGGGGAGGTCTTATACCAGTGTTCTGATTCCCTGTAGAAGGGATAAAGGGAGGAGAAGGTATTGACCATGAAAATAACACTGCAACACCAACAACCATGCTAAGCATACACTGATTAAACAAAAGGACCACTAGTCCTTATGCTTCCAGGTGACAGCTACTTCTTGATGATACTGTTTGCAGCTTTCTATCAATAAAGGTTTCAGCCAGAAGCTTTAAACCCAAGGACTTGTGTCTGGGGCTTTTATTAAAATGCTATGCAAAATGTATGCAAAGCTTATACTATTATCTCAAACAGATCTCAAAAGTACTTTTACCTCCATAAAATGAACTGCTAAAGAGCAAAGGCTTCCCAAGCCAGGGAAATAATGGCACGAGGCACTCCTCTAAATATTTATATAAGGTGATTGCAGCCATTTTGCAAAATCCTTCATAAAGGTATTAAAACATTAAAAGCCGATCCTAAGTCTTAGAGGGAATGTCTAACTATTATGAAAATTTCCCTTTCCACTAAAACCCAGAGACCTTTGTCTTTACTTTATTCCTACTATAAAAATCATTTAAAGCCCATTTGGTAAGGGTCACCCAGGTGCATGAAAGATCTTCAGGATCATGTTTGTTATATACATCTTTTCTTGACTGGGCTAACAGCTCTCAGAGGCAGAATTCCCCCTTAGGGTTTCTACAGCCCCTGAATCTTACGGTTTAATCATACCAGAGGTTTTCTCCCCTCTGCTTTCCTCTGTCCTACTTTTCTTATGGACTCTGTGACTGTTGTGACATCTAAGGGTGGTATTTTGCAGTGAGCCTATCACTGCTTGGCTTTATTAGCAATGGCAGTAATATGGAAACGTGCTCGGCAGTCACTCGTGCTTTTTTCGTATTTGACATCAGAGCATTTTGACTGGCTTTCCCATTTGGGAAACAAACCTTTCTAAAGGGTAGTGCCATGTCTGAGCAGCACCTGGCACAAGCAAGCTGCCGCAGCTTGCTGAGTTATACGTCAGCTGAGCCACAACAACCGCGGCATGGGGACGAGCAGCTGCAAAAGCCTGGTAAAATGTCTCATCTCCAGTTGCTTGGTTATTGCTATTTCTTGAGTAACTTCCTATGTTTTTCTGAAGACTAAGCCAAGAATAAAAATTTTGGGGGGTGATGGGGTTAGGAAGAATTCAAAACTATTTAAAACAAAACTCAGAAAGACTTCTTGTAAGAAATAGCAAAATCAACAGAAAATGATTCATTTGAAACCCTGTAAAACCAAAGCCACCCAAGTACTTTGAAGTGGACTGCAGAAAGTCTATACCATTTTTTTTTAAAATTTTGCAACCAGTTCTTCAAGTTTTGCAGCCCAAAATCTCCATCTCAGATGCCGGAGGCTGGACTTCGTTCCCTATTACAGAACAGTGTCAGGCCCAGATAAAAACCATACCTAAATTTCATCTACACAAGTGGAACTCCAATGAGTTTCCCCACAGAAAATACAAATCCTTCAAAAGCACATGCTTATCTTACTTTTTTAAATACTGGAAAGCGTTTAATAGGGTTATTGGGTATAATGTATCTTGGTCTACTATTCAAAGCCAAAACTGCGAAACCTTTCAGAGTTAAGTGTTAAGAACCCTAACAATTTCCCACAAAGGCACAATGTAACTGCCATCCAGATCCTACACATTTGGGTTTTTTTCCCTACTCATTTGAACAGCTCTTCATATATTTCCATTGATATTAACAAACGAGAAAATGCTGCAGGAATGATGACTCAATGAAAATCCTCCAGGCTGATCACTGTCCCATGAATAACCCTAATTGTTCTAAGACTTCTTCTAACAGATTTTTAGTAGTGTTGAGTAAATACCAATTTGATGACTTTCTTTAGAGACTAATCTGAAAAAATGCAGATTTTAATAGGGCATGATAGCCTTCCACTGAACAGCTTCTCACAGACTAGAACCTCACGGACATACCTTGTGAAAGCAATCAACTTTGTCAAAGGTAGATCTCTGGAATAACACCCTATGCCATGCAGATCAGAGAATTAATCATGATAAACATGGTTATCACAATGAAGTTAAGAATGAATAGAGAGATCACCATTTGAGCCCTACTTACTAGACTTTTACATGTAGAGTTAAAGTGCTGATAAAAAGGCAGAAGCAGGAAGATTAAACGGTGTTTCATTTTAGCAAAAGTCCTTGTTCAATTCTGTGTCTCTATGCAGACTGAGCTTCCTAACTGCATCACTAGAATATTTTTTACTTTGCTCCACCTGGTGACACAACTACCCAGCCCAAGTGCAATACCGCCGAGAGGCACCTGATTCAGGAATACAGCAGATTGCCCACTGGCCAAAGGCAATATAAAACTTATCCATTGAATAAGCAGCACCAGCCATAATAAACCTGCTTTTAAACTCCCAACACAGAATAACACATGTGTAGAACTTTCAACCTGTGAGATGCTCCAGTGCAGTCACTGGTGGTCTTGGGTTGTGGACTGCTGTATCACTAAGCATCAGAGAAGAAACAAATGCACAGTCCTAACTCCCTGTCATTTCTCTGCACAAAACAACTTTTCCCCCACTGCTCATCTGGAGATCGGACAGTGTCATGAGCTCTGTGACACAGCCAAAAAGTCTTAGCACTTTGCTCACCTCTTGGCTGCTTGTGTACATCCTGTTCAACCAGTCACTCTCCAATGAGTGACTTGTGTTACTTTAGAAATGAAGGGACCATCGTGTTTTCATCAATGCACCAAATATTCAGTGCAAATAACTAATCAGCAAGTGAATGGACATACAAGAGCAGTAATGAACAGCCCATAACCAAATTCCTTGCTTGCCTATAGCCTTCCAGGCTCAAATGAGTAACTAAGCAAATAACCCCTCTCCACGACATGTTACATCTGCCAACAGCTAGCAGATGCAGCCCAGTCTCAGGAGTTCAGGCTCAGCTAACTGTGGCTGCACAGGAGTCATCAACAGAGAGCCAGACAGGCATTTAGTTGGTGAGAGCCATTCTTTCTGCATCTAACAAATGTGCATTTCTGACCAGATTTAATGCAAGCTGCAGAGCACTGAACAGAACTACAGGAGCACTGTGGTATCTGCTTGGGCCTCTGCACGTATCTCAGGCCTCTTCATAGCTCTTCAGTCTGTCCTGAAAGGCGTGATGATCCACATGCTCTGCCGTTTTTCTATACTTCGTGCAGATACTCCAGTAAGTCCGATCTAAATCATACTGGTACAAAATACTCTCCCACCAATTAACTAGAGATCTAGAATACTTTCACATTCCTTAATTACGGGTGGGGAGGTTACCTGCGTATTACCACTCCTTCATCACACAGGAAGTTCAACATATGAGATAACAACTTCATTTTTAAAACAATTATTTCTATTGACGCATCTGTGTGTATGTACATGAACAACAACAACAAGTAGTCCAGGGGAAGAATTACTAAACATACAAGAATCTAGCAAAACCCTGAAAACTCTCCAAAGTACAGACTATATTCTGCATGGATTGATTTTGATTTCTTGGATTGCTATGAGTCATTCCAGAATGAGAAATACCTTTCATTCATACTGCAATACTACTCGAAAAACATACATGCTTCCATGCAGAGACCCACTGCAGAACAGGACATTTATTTCAGAGTACTTGTAGACTTGCTTTATGTAGTGTGAATCTTAAACAGTAAGAAGAATGGTAAGGCGAGAAATGTGAGTGAGGTATTATTTATCTCACCCACCTCTGGAAAGCAGCTCTTAAAAAATAAGTTTTATATGGTGTAAATTACTGCACAAACCTTAACATAGTAGAATCACATCCAGGCAATCTCTGGACCTAATTCCCTCTTTCTCACTTAATCTGAACTAGATGACAAGTAAATCCACTGCAGCACAATGAGTTACATCAGAAAATGGTACAAGATGAGAATCAAGTTGTGTGAATCATCTGGGAATATTTTGCCCTTCCACAGCTTATCAAGGAGCTGCACAACCTGAAATACAGCGTCCAGTGCTCTTAAGTATGGTAAACCCTTTTATACTCCTGAGGCAATAAAAGGAATCATACAACACAAACAAGTAGCAATTTAGGCCCTTATCAAGATTATGACCCAAAATTAATCTATTAAAAAGTGTTGTGTGAAAAACACTACGTCATCAATAACATTTTATAACAGAAGGTCTGGCAGATGGAAAAGTTCAGAACCAGTTTAATCAGCAACACACCCGTCTCTCAGTTTTATCTTCCCAGGTATCAACCTACATTCAAGAGGGGTTACAGGCGTTCAAATACACACAGTTTAATGATCAACTCGTTGGTCTGCCTCTTCTAAAATGAAGAGGAGTATAAATAGATCAAATTCTTCAATCCAGAACAGTCACACAGCAAAAACTGCTAGTAGGAAAAGTCTCCGCTTCCTGAACGACCACAGAGTATCAGGAGCAGAAAACATGAAAACTATTCTAGCCTTTCTATTCATTGTCCCACTTGCTCTTCCAGCTAGAGCTGAGAAGGATTATTCCTCCTTTGATTCTGCTGCATCTCCCGAGACAAAATCAAGATTTGCCATGCTAGATGATGTACGAATCTTAGCCAATGGACTCCTCCAGCTTGGACACGGTCTTAAAGACTTTGTCCATAAGACAAAGGGGCAGATGAATGACATCTTTCAAAAACTTTACATTTTTGATAGGTCCTTTTACGAGCTCTCACTGCAAACTAGTGAAATCAAAGAAGAAGAAGAACAGCTCAGACAAACTACAGCCAGACTGCAAATCAACAATGAAGAGATAAAGAATCTCTCACAGGAGATGAATTTGAAGATTGAAGACCTCATACAAAACAAAATCCAGCTGCAAGAGAAAGTATGGGGACTGGAAGACAAAGTCACTAAACTGGCCATTATCCAGCCTTCAATGCAAGAGACAAAAGAAATTTCGTCACTCAAAGTAAGTAGACTTGTGAAAGCCCTTGGCACACAATGCCAAAGTAAACTGTAATGCTATTATTGGTAGTTACGCAATAGAAGCTCATGTTTTCCCTTCCTCTTCACTGTAGTACTACTGTGTATTTAGAGAAATAAATCATTGTGATAATCTTAAAAGAATCAGTGTCTTAATCTAACATACTGTCTATTTCACAGTAAAAATCCCCAGTGCAACAGATGAGAAAATTGTGAAATTACAAGGCTCTGTATCTTTTTCAGTATTTTTTTGCAAATCAGTTTTAAGAAATTCTGTAATAATAATGATAAAAAATGTTTGCTATCAGGAAAATGATGTGATTACCAAGCCCATAGGTTTGTACGTCATCATCTCATTACAAATTACTAGGAACCGCCTGCTCAGTACAAAACCAGGAAGTTTAAAGGTTTAAAGAGGGACATCTGTAGCACCTATATGACCTCCAGGACCAAAGAAGCTTGGAAGCGTTAAGAGACTTAATGTCAATACATGCAAGTATTTAGGTGGGTATAAGGTTTCCCATGGAAAAGGAAGTATTAACTGTACTTTGCAGAAGCAAAAGGTTAAGTAACTTGTGTTAGAAAATACTGGATGTTTGTGTCAAAGCAGAAAGATGAATCCAGATCTTCTAAATCCCAAGCTGATACCCTAAATGCTGGTAATTGTTACCTTTGCTGATCAGTGGCATACATCTGGTTTGAATCAAGGGCCAACTTCACAGAATATAATTGTTCTGGATGTGAAAATGGAAGGAAAATAGCAACAACATAAAATATCTACAAAGCTGCCAGTAGTCTGTCTCCAAAAAAACGGGTGTTCACTTCAGAGGCAAAGAAATTCAACTGTTCAGAGGCAAAGCAGGCAATCCCTTGGAAAATGAAAGGCAATGTTAAATGGTTTGTGCCTCTCAAAACTGGTCACATGAAAAGTTATGGAGGCAGTGCCACTGTGAAGGTCCTCTGCTGCTTCTAACCACAACCCTCCTTCCCTCCTTCCTGTCCTCAGGCTTTTGTGGAGCAGCAGGACAACCACATCAAGCAACTTCTCAAAATCGTGGAGGACCAGCACGTGCAACTCGACAGACAGCACAATCAAATAATGGAGCTGGAGGACAAGGTACAGGAACCATCTCTATTTCTCTTTTCAGAATTTGTCATCTCTCATAACACTGAAGCAGTCAATGGCCCTTTCCTTCAGGTCAGCCATCCTTCTTGTTCGCAGTTTGGGGGTGTAGAGGAGGGTATAAACAATTTTGACTGCAAACAGTTACATTTTCGGGTGAGAGACTGCTGTGCTGCCAGGCAGAGGGCTATGGCCAGGGCACACAATGACCAAGAACACAGCTTTGAAATGCTGTCTATCAGGCTGCTGTATCTTCTGATTGCTAATTTTCTTTTTTTCCTCTTATTGTCTATCATATTATCGTTCTTCCATTGGTCTTCTAATTATCATTACTTTCTACCTCTTTCTTCTTTTCCAATATTCACTCCAATAGGGAACCATGTTCTGCAGTTCAGCACATGTCACTGTAACACTGGGTATAACTGACATGCTCATATTTAATTTATTCCAAAGAGGAGTCTATAAAAGGAAAATGCATTTCAGCCTAAGGAACTGTGGGTTCTGTGCTCTTTGGATGTTGGTATTATTTGTCTAAGTGATGTCACCTGAGGAAGTAAGTTAAATCTGTTTGCCCATTAAGGTGCACCTCATGAGAACGGGTCATTTACTCGCCTCATGAATCCTACCTTGTTTGAGCAGTAGCACAGCTGACATTCACGCAACTGAAATCCACCAGTGCAGTTCTGAAGTTATTTTTATGTTGTAGATTGGGTATTCTAAAGGATTACATTCACAAGAAAAATTACTCTCTGCATGACATTGTTTGGCTTGATACATGAATCTCATCATTTCAGAGCCTTGGGAAATGAACAGTCTGTAATTACGGTTCTTTCAGCTAAACCACATAGAGCTCCAGGAACTCGCAGAGAACTCCTTCACAGGGGAGCAAACAGAACCAGAGGCCATCCCCTTTCCTGTGCGCAATGCCACAGCTGTAACACACAAATCTGATGGTAAGACCACATCTCTTAGGCATGACTACACAATAAATTGCATTCACATTATTCTCTCTGTGAAAGTTTTGCATTGGTTTTTAACAGTCAAAGACTAAAAGCAAAAGACTCTTATGTTATATATGGTTCTGTGGGAAGGAGCTACATTTTGTGCTTTGGAAAAAATCTACTTAGCCCCACTATATGTGTACTTGTCTCTGGGGTGACATACAGGAACGATGTCCAATAATGCAGTAATCCTGTCCTCAACCTTCAGCCTCTCTTCACCCCTTGTAAACACATGCTGTGACCACCCTTTTACTGACACTTCTGACCTTGCCGATGCCTGTCTTGGAGTGTATGAACAGAGAACTAAGTTACTTCATGCTGGCTAATTTTAAGATTTAGAAGAGCCTTCTTTAAAGTTGAGAGACATCTTCAAACTGCAGCAACGGGAACGGTATTTACGGGGAACCTTACAAGGGGTATGAAAATCCATTTGCCAGAGTCTAGTCTTAGGCCTTACAAACTTCCCAAAATTATCTGAACTGAAATGTTGCCTAACTTAAAAAAATGTAAGCAGTCCAACCTACGTACAACTTGGCAGCTGTACTACCAAGCCCAAAACAGTTTGTCCATTTCATGACATTATTGTAAAATAAAATTACCAAAACGACTGTTCTAGTTTTTGTTTTGGCTCTGGAAATTCAAGTTACAAGGCTGGCTTAAAACTTACCACATCCAAACCAGGATTTGTAATTGTCTGCTGTTTGCTTTCCTAGGTGCTGCTCCTGACTGCACTGCTCTTTACAACAGTGGCATGCGGTCCAGTGGTGTTTACACTATTAAGCCCAATGGCTCAGAAGCTTTTGATGTCTACTGTGAAATGAAATTTGGTAAGACAGCTGTGCTAGCAACAGTCTAATTTTCACATAAGTAGTTTCTTATAAGCCAAAAACCTGTGTCTCATCCCAAAGTACACAAAAACTTATCAGGAATTACGTATCCTCTTCTCTTCAGACTTCTCTTACTGGCCTGTCTGTGCTCTGCACTCAGGTTTCCCGTATCCTGAAGTCTCCCAAACACTACTTTAATTCTTTACTCATATCTTGTTTATACTGAGGAAAGGACTTTCAATCATGTGACATAAATTAAGTATATTAAAAAACCCAAGCCCCTTTAGGTACAGGTAATGAAAATGGCAATTACAATGAAAATGGCAATTTTAAATGCCATCATATTGCAATCATTAATAGCTTTTCCAAGTAAAAGCAAATAGTAAATACCTTAGTAAAATTTTGTTTCATTAACAAGGGTTACCGCTGGAGACTTCAATATACCAAACTAACCCAAAGAGGTGAGTCCTGGAGACAGAATTGTCATGGACCAGAACGCACAGCATGTACCCAAGCTCCCTCTCTCTAAGAAACCCATTTGTCTGTTCCCTTTGCCACTACCCAGAGATCACACATTGTTTGGCCAGTTCACTGGCCCTGTTTTTTTCACCCCACAATGCATCATCCTGCAGTGCTGCTCTGTGCGTGTCCTGCCTAGCTTCCCCATACAGTCCCTTTGCCACAGCTACCTGGAGAGCCTGGAAACACACTGATGCAAACGTGGCAGGGCCATGCGATTTGTTTGGATGTGTAAACAGAGCGGTTGCCCTGTGCCAGAAGCAACTTTGCTTACATTTGTTGAAACTGGTGAAATGAGGGTGTCATGACCTGGTCAGGAGAAAGATCCCACTGCAGCCCTAGCGTAGGCATGGCCTTCAACACTTCATACCTTCTGTGGAGTTGCATTCCCAGCAGTCAAGCACTATCAGTAGAGGAAGTCTGACCATCTGATCAAACGTCTGGAACATTTCATATCTCTTTTTTTACCATTTTCTCTATGGTTGTGTTTCTCATCCCTCATAAACAAATAAAACACAGTTAAGGCAGCTTAACAAAATACATCCGGTGAGCTGAGTCACTGCAAGTGTGGCAGAGGACACTTGAACAGCCCTGTGTTCTGTTCACCTGTGCTCACTTGAATTTCTTTCAGGAAGATTTAGGCTAACTCATTCTACTTCAAAACTGGAGCACCCAAGAGCACACTCATGGACAGTTAATAAGGCCAAGGCCAAGATGAGTCGAGCATCTGCTCCCTGTATAGCCAAAAGGCTTTACAGCTCAGCACACATACACTCAGGTTTGCTGCAAAATGAAGAGTAAGTGGTTTTTCATATGGAGCCACCTTCAATGCAAACCTATTTTCTTCTTCACTGCAGTGAAGAGCGAGCTCACATAAGGGCAGCCACAGCGGCTGACTGTCTCAGTTACTTTCCATCTTCTCCCTAGAACTTTAAACACTTAAGTCAGACTTGTGACTTACTTCCTCTTCGCATTCACAGGCAGCTCCTGGACTGTAATCCAGAACAGAGTGGATGGATCACTAGATTTCAACCAAACCTGGGATGCCTATGCAAATGGTTTTGGTGAACTCAATGGTAAAAATGCTTTCTTTGTGTCTTTTCTTTGCATCAGTTGATTTGAGAAGCTGAATCTTCTTAATTAAAGGTGTTCACATGAGAGCATACAAAACCTGCAATCAAATCTGAATAGCTTACCTAATTAGTAGAACACCAGAAAGTGCTTACCAGAAAATTACTCAGTAAAATTCTCAAAGACACACCTTCAAATCTGTGTTTAGAAACTTTTGCTGAATCAAGGCCAGAATGCTTTAAATGCTATTTTAATTATCGAGATTTTACTATTCATAAAAGCACCCCCCAAAAGCCTTTAAAATACACACATAAACGTAAAACCTCATCAGGTTGCTGTCACTACTTTCTCTCAAACTTTCTGCAATGATGTTTGCCTTAAAACCACCACACCAATTTTTCCAACCTCAAGAGAGCCCAAGGCTGCATGTGCTCTCCTGCACTTCCTCACCTCACCTCCAGCTTCCCCACGCAGTGGCCAATCCCCTCCACAGCTGGATAGGGTGAGGAAACACCCATGTTCCCCTGTTAATCATCAACTCCAAAGAATTTTTTAGCACCAAGTGCTGCCCAACAGCCTCCCCATCCAGAGGACTTCCCCTGTTTTTCTCGTACAATGAGATGACTACTTTTGTTTAGAAAATATTTTGACTTTCTAGGCATAGCACAGATCAAAACCTCACCAATGTGGGCAGCAATATTGACGTACTTGCAGCTCTTCTAAAATAAAGAGCTGGAATCTCACAACCTTTCTGTTGAAGATATTCTTCAAATATCTCAACCTCTCCTGCATTTTGGGACAGTAGCTCACAACTGAGGTAGACTTTTACCTGTATAGTTTGTCTAATCATATAGAATGCTACAGTTGCTCTTTGATTGGTCTCCAATTCCCATATACTAAACCAACATGAAGCCACACCTTTCCAGTGTCAGAAAGATTTTGCAAAGGATCACATAACTCTCAGTTATGTCCTACTCAGTTCTGTGCTGCATATTCTAAGGTGATAAAATATAACAGGCTACTGCTTCTTACCTGTAAATTGTGCGAGTATTTTACTCAACCATCTTCTATTGCTTAAAATGCCACCTGCATGTATAGCACTCACATTCAGCTACACTATTTCTACATGTGGCAACTACCTACTGTGCACTGATACCAGCGGACCGATAATAAGCTACTTAATTAATATAATCTATGAAACTAATTAAACTAATTATCAAGAATTCGAGCAAAAGAAAAACGCTCAAGTTAAATTCACTTTGTACACAAGGGTATTGAAATCTCAGTTTAGTTCTGCAGCTCTTTCCTTAAAAAATACAACAATTGCAATTAGGTTTTATGTATGTCATTTGCTTCATTTGTCACACTGTTCCAATTATGCATGTTTTAAATGTCTTGAGCTCCCTCTCAGAGTTTCACAAGAGGTGGGAAAGTTAAGAGAAAAGCTCCAGTTCATTTATATCTCTTGCTTTTATTGATCACTGGTGTGCAATTAAGAAGAGGTAAACAAAAAGAATGTAGCAGGAGACCTCTGAAAAGATCAACAGTCCCCAAGACTCATATTATTGATTTAATTAAAGCAATAAATAAAGCCTTTTAAACACTGTATTTTCACACACACTACCTGCAGGTTATCTGTAAAAACAAATTCAGTAGCGGTGTGAGCAATAGGGGGTTTTAGGGAAAGTTTATCACATAACCCTTTCCCCACTAACTCTCTGCCTGGTGACTTCTGTCCCCTCATCCTCACCTCTGACATCTCTTGATTCTGACATCTCTTGCTTCTGACATTGCACAGCTTATTTGGACATATATTTTCAAATACTGATATTTTAAAGGTGAATGAGCTATCTGAGGTATGGCTTACAGATCTGGAAAACATGGTAAGTGTTTTCACGCCTACTTCCGTATTAACAGCATCTAATGTTTACTATGACTTTGCAGAAGAATTCTGGCTAGGCCTGAATAAGACCTATTCCATTACTAAACAAGGGGACTACATCTTACGTATTGAGCTGCAGGACTGGAGAGATAACAAACGTTACATCGAGTATGCGTTCAGCTTGGGAGGCCCCAAAACAGACTACACTCTCCAGCTTTCACGGATCTCCGGGAGCATCCCCAATGCACTACCGGAGCAGACAGAACTGCGGTTCTCAACTGCAGACCATGATGTGGACATAATAAATGACTTCAACTGTCCAGAAAACTACCTAGGTATCAGTATGACGGGTATATTACCATGGCTGTTTCTTTGTTACATGAAGGATGGTAGCATGCTTTAGTGGGTAGTTACTGATATTAGCCTGGCTTCAGATACAAAAAAGAGAGGGTAGTAGCATCTTTCCACTTTCAGGGAAGGGCAGAAGATTTTTGTTGGCAGATAGCAGGGTCCTACAAGGAGGACAACCTTTCTATTTTATAGATTGGTAAAACTGAAGCATAGTGAGGCTGTGCAAATGACCAACATCAGAAACAGAACTAGCAGCACAGGTTGAAATAAAACCCCAGGATCGTATTCTGAGCTATGAAGTAAAGAGCAGTTTTTCCTCTGATGCCTGCTCTGGTGTGGCAGCCCTCGGTCAGATTGTTTAATCCCAGAGAGAGAGAGAGAGAGAGAGAGAGGACAAACTGACTCAACCCCATTTTGACCACAACTAAAAGTTAAGAATGACGGTGAGTTTCCATTCAAAGGGAGATTTTAGCTGCTTGTCAAGTATTACATGCTATAATCACTCTCAAAGGACCAAGAAAGATGCAAGGCTGAAGACATTACTCCTTGAAGATAATTTCGTTAAGATTCCTAATTCTTTTATTTTATGAAGCTTTTCTGTTTTGCCAGTTTATAGCAAAAAGCAAACAATTGAAAAGGCAATTAATGATTAAGCCACAGGATACAGAATTGCCCTCCAGACACCTGCTTCATGCAACAAACATTTTGTACGTCATTCTAGGCTTGAAAATTGTTAATGTCCGAAACAGCTGAGAGTGTTACTCCACTCTAGTGACCATAAAGCAGATGGCCAATGACTTCCAAAGCACTAAACTTTCTTTTTTAGCACAGTTGCTGCCAGTCCTTTGCCAGCAGAACTGGTCTTACCATTTAAGCTTGTGGTTAAGGACACCAGCCAATAAAAAGGAGAAATTGTTTACTAAAGGCTCTTCAGCCTCTTGCAGATGCAGAGATTTAACTATCTGTACCTGAGAAAAACATCAGCAATTTCGAAAGTCAGTTGTAGAGGGTCATGGAAAACATGAAAGTGTGGAGCTAACTTCGTAGGTGTCCCAATCAGCACCATTTCATTTGGGTATACTGGGTAGTTGTGACTTTTGCCGGAACTGGTCTAAAGAAGATCTATGTTGCAAATGGGAGCTGTCTACTCAGAAACCGAGCATAGTATGTTACAGTATAACTGACAGTAACTGACATTACAATATTTTTCCTTAGGAGGCTGGTGGCACAGTGAATGTGAGGAAACCAATCTTAATGGGAAATATATCGCACCAAGGTCAAGAGGAAGACTAGACAGAAAAAAAGGCCTATACTGGAAGCCTAAGAAAGGAAGATACTACTTGCTCAAGTCAACCAAAATAATGATACACCCAACAGATTTAAGAAGTTTTGACTGAATGCTCAACCTGATGCATTTTAATTCAGAACATATACACTGAACATTACTACATCAAAGAAGTTCATGTTATATTTAATAACAGATGCATGTCTAAGTCCATACACTGTATGGTGTATTCTCCAATACGTAAACCCTGAGGCATTTGCGATGGTCTTACAGTATGTTTGGTGAGTACCCTCATTCGCCCCAGCCCCAATGTCAATGTGCTGTAACTTACTTGAAGCTTTGACTTCCCAGGATGAAACTCTAATGCCTTGGAATCAGCTGCCTATTCATGTGTTGAATAGTATTACCTGGGGGAATGGGTTTTCAAGCTGTTGCATTCATTTCCAGGTTGTGTAGTAGGGAACATGAAAAGTGTTTCAGTAAACAAAGGGCTGGCAAAATGCCATGGAAGACGGTTAGATATTAATCTATAGGGAAAAAAAGAAGTTTTGTTTTCTAAAGTAACTAATTTGATGTTTGGTTCTTCTTATTGTTGTGGAATGTTTCTATGGGCAAATGAAAGAAGGGTAATTCCCCACTTTAGGGTTCTGTGTATTTCCAGACAAATTTTCAGCAGTATAGCTCAGGCCAATCTTCGCTGAAGCACTGTACTTATGCAGCTACAGATGTGTACACACACACATCAAATAAGCCACAGAACAGACCTAATCTTTTAGATACCACACTTTGAAGAATAGCTTAAGAACTATGCTTTCTTACTGAAAGTTAAGAGCTAAGCTTCAAAGCTTACTGAAATAAATAAGAGATCTTTTCTTCTCGTTTGAAATGGATTCAGAGCCATCCCTTTCTGACCTTTTAGTATACCTAAGAAATCAAATGAAAAGACCAAGTGAGCACGGTGACAAAACACCTTTCAAGTAGAGAACGGTTGCCTGTGGGGGGCAACTCCAATGGAGTCAATAGTACCAACCAACAAACCCTGTAGGCACAACCTGTGTGACAGTGTTGGTCCTGCTCCTGGCAACACATTCACATTTAACTTTGGCTGCAGAATACTCCAAGGCAGTAGGACTATTGACGTGCTTGTGGGTGGCCAGCTGTGGAAGTATTGGCTGACAAGGACGCCAATTCTGCAGTTACAGTGAGTCATATTGACTTGTATATGTTACCTAACCCTTGTACAGTATGGATTTTTTATCTCAACATTTGCCACCATACAGAAAATGGTTTTAAATTGTAATTTGTTAGAGTGAAGCAATGGTGAACAGAATGTGCTAATTACAGAGAAATTGGAAAAATACTTTTACTCCTCATGGATGTATTACAAAGAAGAGATCACACAGCGCTGCTTATTTGTGCTGGGATATTGTAATGTTTAATTACCTGTCCAACCTCTATAAATAAATAAATAATAAATAAATAAAACTTTTGAAAAGACATGAGATATGGAACTTGACTAAACTCTTTCTTGCAAGCTTCGGTTTATAAAAACCTGGTTTGTATTTATCTAACTTCTGCAACAAGAAGTAACTGATTTGGTGAGTAAGTTGGTGAAATTACTCAACAGAAGAAGACAATTCCACTCAGAGGTGTAATGTCTTCAAAGATACTGTGAAAAAGCTTTAAATGAATAGTGGTACATAATGAAAAGAAATCTGCTCCCTGCCTGGGCTTAGTTACAGAAAGGTTATTGTTTTCCAAGACGTTTTAGAAAAATTTCTTATTGTCCAGATCTTCAGAAGATTTTTTTTTCTGTAAACAGCACTGTAAACAAAGAAATTGCTTTTAAATCAGAATGGAAATATGAATGAAGGGATTATGCTTTTTTCATTTTTATCCCCCACTTTCAAGACAAAAAGTACATCACTGAAAGTGTCAAAAAGTAACAGAAACTGTAAGAGAATAATGACTTCAGCACACAGACAAAGAAAAATAGCTACACAAAACTGGAAAGAATTCAACTAAATTTCACTGTGAATTTTGGGAAATGGAGAAACTTGTCTCAGGTACCTGTTCACAGCTAAGTTTTATGCAAATACGTTTGACCCTTCACATCTGTGTATTTTCTGCTGTGTCAGTCTGGACCCCTTTTGTGCTTCTGGCACAGCAGATCTACTGAAACAGCAGTTTTGCAATGAACCAGCTGATAAGGTAGGAATTTCTAAATTTGCCAGTCTCAGGTCTTGAAACGTGAAACGTTATTTCAAAACTCTAACCTGTATGTGGTATTTGGAACGTAGACATCCCTGGCAGGAAACTCCAGGATTTCTCTTGTAGGTCTAACTCTGCTGTCTGGGTAAAGTTTGACTTGCAGCAACTCTGGAGTCAGACAGTAATGGGGATTCTCTGGAGCTGGAGATATGTCTATCTTTAATTGAGCTGTAAGAAGAAAATGGTTTTATTACAATAAATAGAAGCTAAATACAAATAAAAAAGCATGTTCATGCTTTGTTTCTTCAAGTTAATATCCTACATATTAATTTCATAAATAAATTATAAAGTTACAGCCAATGTGGACTGTTAAAAACAAGTAACAGTGAATCAAACAGGTATCTATGGCAACTGGGGTACCAGATAATAAGAACCCACAGCAAAGATCTATCTTAACAAGTCCCAAATGCTGTTCTCACAGGCAAGTTGGGGAAATACCATAGCAATGCTACTGTGAGGCCCAACAATAAATTGTTAATTGTTAAAAACAATATTCAAAGTCTCATCAGGAATCTTGCCTATCAAACCAGAAGGAGACATCAGGAGTTGCTGAAAGCTCATCTGCACCAAGATTACTGAATATTTGCCTTAGCAAGTCAGCTGACAGTAATGACAGCACACTTCTTTTTGGTGGATGGCACTGTGGCTGGAATGATTATAAAAATTTGGAAGAGGGGAGAGTTGGAGAAATGGCATCAAATGACTAATGTGAAACGTAAGAAAGAGTAAAGGACTTGCATTAAGAAGGAGAAGCCAAACATACAAACATTAAAAAAAAAAAAATTGGCATGGATCAATTCTGTAGAAAAGGGCTGGGTGACAGCAGTGACAATAAGCCAATGTCCAGAAGAAAGCTACAACCATTCTAAGATGTGCAGTGTGTGTGTAAGACACGGGAGACAAATTTGTCTGCTTTGCTTGGCATGAGGTCTTAGGAGGAGCAGCATACCCAGTTTAGAGCACCATGCTTGAAGAAAAGCATGAACAGATTAAAGAAACTCTAGCAGAGAGCAACAGGCAATTTTAAAATCACAACCTCTGATGAAGCGTTGAAAAAAACTTAAGATTAGTTAGGCTACAAAATGGAGGCAAATAAGAGTGAGCTAATAACAGTATTCAAGCACTTGAAAAGTTGTGATAACTGCCCTGAGGGCATGGCAGACCATAATCAGATTAATTTGCAGAAAGATAATTTTGCAAAGTTTTCTTAATACCTAACCTCACTACAAGGACAGCTGAGTGCTGGGAGAGATGATCTAAGGAAGTGGTGAGATTGCTGTTGCTGGAGATTTTTAAGAACAGGTTAAGTAAATATTGTCAGGAATAGCACAGGTCAGGGACCAGTGATATTTCACTGCTAGTGTGCCAGCATTTTTATTTCCCTTCCTCAAACAGAGGTGGAGTCTGTTCCTATTAACCAAGTGGGAGCCAGGAGGGAGATCTCCCCTCAGCTAGAGAGAGGTGTTTTACTCAGGAAAACAGAGGTTTCTCAGCTCCTGCTGGGTTTATGGCTTTGGGGTTTGCATCCTTTTCTCACAGATAGCTACTCTCAGTGTGACAGGAGCTGCATGTGCACATGTGCCAGCGCAAAACTTGCCAAAATGCCATCTTTCGTGCTCATGGTCTACCAGGGAATGCAGTCAATGACTTCTTAGGGATTTTTCATCTGCTTACTGATAAGAATCAGGTGGCACTTGGGAAGGACTAACCAAATACCTTAACAGATGTGCACCAAAAAGATCTCATTCAATACCTGTGATAGGTCTCAATCTCCGTAACACTGATGATGGCCGTCTCATGTCAGCAAGGAACTTGTACAAATCTTCATCGCTCAGGCGATCACCCTCCTGTTGGATGTTGGGAAGAAAATGGTTATCTACACAACCCTTCAGGATGGCGAGAGAATGAACAAACCATCTAACACTATAGTCTCTTTCCTCTGGTATCAAAATGTACCTTCCCAGAACAAGGTGTTAAGATTAACATGCTAAATTACAGTTCATTTCTCCATCCTTTTTCCGTCCTTTTTTCCTTATTAATCATCATGACAGCTGCAGGAACTTCTCATTGAAAACCTTTTCTCTCCCCATCAATATTATCTTTTTCAAAACTGAGAACAGCTGTTAAAAGATTTCCCCAAAATACCCAATTTTTAGCAAGTATAATAGTTTGAAAAAGTATCTGTCATTCAGGTAGCGATGCTCATTCCTTCTCCCCTGCCTTTTCTTTGGTATGAGTCTAAGAGAGTCTTACTTTTCAGGAGAAGTGTTAAGAAACGGTGGGAAGTGGAAGGAGTCTGTTTTCAGTCTTCCTTGTGCCACATTCCAGTAGCTCAGAATTTCATTAATTTTGGAAACATTATAGAAAATGTGACTCTGCCACCCTCTAACTATCAAAAGCAGAAAATATCTGATAATAGAAGTAATAAACTACAATATGAAAAAAGAAGGAAATGCAAGGAGAAAAACACTGGGTAGTATTCAATTAATTGTAGTCAATGGGAGAAAAGGAAGGGGAGATAAAAAATAAAAGATTCAGAAGAATTAGAAACTTAAAATCTTAAATCAATATTGGGCAATTTTTGAAGAATAAATTAACAAAACCTGTTTCAAAGTTGTCAAGTGAAAGCAACCTTGACAAAGTAAAGAAATACATGGTTTTGTAAATCATTACTAACTTAGTGAACTGGCGTATATTACAAAGAGGGCTGCAGAACATGGACAGTGGAATGGCTACATCAGCAGTGCTGTAATATGGTTGGGTTTTTTCCTCACTTTCTACATCTTGGGTGAATACATTACAGAACTGGATTTTACTAACGGCCCAAGTAAAATGAACTTC